TGGAATTGCGGTAATCGGTCTGATCTAGAAAATAGTTAAATGATTTTATCTTCTATTCATTTCTATACCAGTTTACATATTCCTTTGTCATGTGATTGTTTCCATTCTTTTTGCTTTCAGGTTGGCATGACCACAAGTATCCTTCCACACAATCTTGGAGAGCTTGTTGATGCAATGTCTTCCTTAATTCATAACCCAGAAGTAACAGTAAAAATGAATTCAGTTATTTCACATTGCTATATTGAGATTACTTCTCAGTCATTTTGAGATCTGTTTTTTCACTTTGCCATTTTGAAAGTACTTTTATTCTGTTGGAGGTTCCTTTTTTGTTTTTCTCTTTGACTATTTCCATGCCATCGTTTGCAATCTAGCAGTCTCTTTTTTCCCCCAAAAAAGAAAAGCAGATGCATTTTTGCATTATTAATAAAGATCCAACTGGGAGCGTTATTTAGTATTGTAACAGTGGTCTTCATTTTTAACCCAAAACTTGTAATAACTCAACGTGAAGAAGGCAATTTCTCCTACATTAACACATATGTGTTACTTCTTCATCATGCTTTCTGCTTATTACGGGATTCAGATTCTTACAATTAGCTAAAATCAGTTGGTGCTTTTTTTATATACTGAGTATAATCAATTGCTTATTTTGCTCACCAGAATTTGAATCCTTGTAGTAAACAACTTCCTCAGTCCCACTTTGTTTGTTTCATTGTAGTTTACATACCACAAAAACAACATTACCCCAGTGGTCAAAGTCTCCCGCACATGGCTAGGTGAAGGGGGGGGGGGTTGGATGTACGCAGCGTGACCCCTAATTTTAGGTACATAATCACTTTTGGATTCTTTAGGCACGTAGATAAACAGATGTAATATTTTGTTAAAATTAATGTTAATGACCATTTATGCTTTTTACTGATGGGTAATGCCTCTTTTGCCAATACCCACTGTCTTTTTAAGTTTTATTTTCTAATTATGATACCCATATTAAATCAGATAACCATATTATCTTTTCGTTGCTTACGATGCTAATAAATGGTTTCATTTTCAGGAACATACAAAGGCAATGCTGCCACCCGACATAGATAAAAATACAGTATGTCATCTATATTACATGTTAATTATAAGTTTATTACTTTTGAGTTCTAAGTTAGTCACGTCTAATATATGATTAACACGTTGATTTTGTCCCGAATTTTGACAACTCACAAACAGAGCCATCTTTACTCCGTGTTACAGTCCCGAATCTGCTTCTGAATGGTGCCTTTGGAATTGCGGTAATCGGTCTGATCTAGAAAATAGTTAAATGATTTTATCTTCTATTCATTTCTATACAAGTTTACATATTCCTTCGTCATGTGATTGTTTCCATTCTTTTTGCTTTCAGGTTGGCATGACCACAAGTATCCTTCCACACAATCTTGGAGAGCTTGTTGATGCAATGTCTTCCTTAATTCATAACCCAGAAGTAACAGTAAAAATGAATTCACTTATTTCACATTTCTATATTGAGATTTCTTCTCAGTCATTTTGAGATCTGTTTTTTCACTTTGCCATTTTGAAAGTACTTTTATTCTGTTGGAGGTTCCTTTTTTGTTTTTCTCTTTTACTATTTCCATGCCATCGTTTGCAATCTAGCAGTCTCTTTTTTTTCCCCAAAAAAAGAAAAGCAGATGTATTTTTGCATTATTAATCCAGATCCAACTGGGAACGTTATGTAGTATTGTAAAAGTGGTCTTGATTTTTTACCCAAAACATGTAATAACTCAACCTGAAGAAGGCAATTTCTCCTACATTAACACATATGTGTTACTTGTTCATCATGCTTTCTGCTTATTCCGGGATTCAGATTCTTACAATGAGCTAAAATCAGTTTGTGCTTTTTTTATATACTGAGTATAATCAATTGCTTATTTTGCTCACCAGAATTTGAATCCTAGTAGTAAACAACTTCCTCAGTCCCACTTTGTTTGTTTCATTGTAGTTTACATACCACAAAAACAACAACATTACCCCAGTGGTCAAAGTCTCCCACTCATGGCTAGGTGGGGGGTGGGGTTGGATATACGTAGCTTGACCCCTAATCTTAGGTACATAATCACTGTTGGATTCTCCAAGGTAGATAAACAAATGTAATATTTTGTTAAAATTAATGTTAATGACCATTTATGCTTTTCACTGATGGGTAAAGCCTCTTTTGCCAATACCCATTATCTTTTGTAAGTTTTATTTTCTAATTCGGATACCCATATTAAATTAGATAACCATATTATCTTTTCGTTGCTGACGATGCTGATAAATGGCTTTATTTTCAGGAACATACAAAGGCAATGCTGCCACCAGACACAGATCAAAATACAGTATGTCATCTATACAACGGCAATGCTGCCACCAGACATAGATCAAAATACAGTATGTCACGTCTGATATGATGATTAACAGGTTGATTTTGTCCCGAATTTTGACAACTCACAAACATAGCCATCTCTATTCCCTGCTAGAATCCCGAATCTTCTTCTGAATGGCGCCTCTGGAATTGCGGTAATCGGTATGATCTAAAAAATAGTTAAATGATTTTATCTTGGAGAGCTTGTTGATGCAATGTATTCCTTAATTCATAACCCAGAAGTAACGGTAAAAATGAATTCGGTTATTTCACATTGCTATGTTGAGATTACTTCTCAGTCATTTTGAGATCTGTTATTTCACTTTGCCATTTTGAAAGTACTTTTATTCTGTTGGAGGTTCCTTTTTTGTTTTTCTCTTTGACTATTTCCATGCCATCATTTGCAATCTAGTAGTCTCTTTTTTCCCACAAAAAAGAAAAGCAGATGCATTTTTGCATTATTAATCCAGATCCAACTGGGAGCGTTGTCTAGTATTTTAACTCTGATCTTGATTTTTAACCCAAAACATGTGATAACTCAACCCGAAGAAGGCGATTTCTCCTACATTAACACATATGTGTTACTTCTTCATCATGCTTTTTGCTTATTCCGGGATTCAGATTCGTACAATTAGCTAAAATCAGTTGGTGCTTTTTTTATATACTGAGTATAATCAATTGCTTATTTTGCTCACCAGAATTTGAATCCTAGTAGTAAAAAACTTCCTCAGTCCCACTTTGTTTGTTTCATTGCAGTTTACATACCACAAAAACAACATTACCCCAATGGTCAAATTCTCTCGCTCATGGCTAGGTGAAGGGGGGGGGTTGGATGTACGCAGCGTGACCCCTAATCTTAGGTACATAATCACTTTTTGATTCTCCCAGGTACATAAACAAATGTAATATTTTGTTAAAATTAATATTAATGACCATTTATGCTTTTTACTGATTGGTAAAACCTCTTTTGCCAATACCCATTATCTTGTGTAAGTTTTATTTATGATTCTGATACCCATATTAAATCAGATAACCATATTATCTTTTCGTTGGTGACGATGTTAATAAATGGTTTCATTTTCAGGAACATACAAAGGCAATGCTGCCACCAGACATAGATCAAAATACAGTATGTCATCTATATTACATGTTAATTATAAGTTTATTACTTTTGAGTTCTGAGTTAGTCACGTCTGATATATGATTAACAGGTTGATTTTGTCCCGAATTTTGACAACTCACAAACAGAGCCAT